GCTTCTCCGGCCCATGGAGATGTATGACTACAGTTAGGGCGGCAATGAACCTGAGTAAAGCACTCCTGTGAGTCTGCTGCACCGAGTTCTGCAGAACATCGAGCCTACTCAAAAGATGCTGCAGCTGGTCGGAGAAATAAGGTAAGAATTAAATTATTAAAAGCATAATTTAACTCACTGTAAGGTGGAAGGGGGACTCGCAAAGCACAGGGACTTCTCCGGGGATATTGGGAGCTTCTTCGGGGGTGGCCGCACAGAGAAGGAGGGCGTGGGGGTGCCAGCAGAACGCACGGAGGCCAGCCACAGCCGCCCGAGGCCACGCTAGGACAGCCACGTGGGCTCGGGCCGGTGTTCGAGGCCGAGAACACCGAGGAAGCCGAGCCTGCGCCAACAGGCTGGCACGGCAGTGCCGGCGCCTCTTCCTCCTCTTCCTCCTCCTGCCAGGCCATGCTGCCTGCGCCGCGCCTACGCCGCTGTCCCCTAGCACGCGAGAGGATGCCCCGCCTTGCTCTGGCCTCGCCGAGTGAGAGCAGGACTTCTCGGACGTGCGAGGTTAAAGCTGGCATTGCCGGCCACCCCCATCCTCGCACTCTGCTACCGACACACACCCCCGATGCCCCATACCACCCTCAACTTAAGCAGAGGGTACTTAGTAGCTAGTCTCGCTACGCAGCTAGCTACCACAACCGCAAACACGTGGCCGCGGGTTGGGAGAATGGCATGTGTGTTTGTCTACAGGTGAGCACACATCTGTATTCTGTTCGTGGACTTGTTACTCACATTTCCAGCTATTAGCGGTATGAATGCGCGGCCAGCGCGCGAGCACCACAAGATGGCGCAGCCGTGGGGACACACCAGCATACCGCCGCTGCTGTGGCCCTCCCAGACGACCTCTCGCGTGGCAGAATAGGGCACTCACCGCAGCCGCAGCGGGCAGTGCTTAAGCACAGGGGGCCAGTCAAGTCCCACATTGGCTTGTGCGGCTGCACGGCCTGTAGAGCCTCGGGGTTGCAGGTACGCGCTCTGTGGGAGTTCTCCAAGGTATGACACACATTTTCCCCGCGATTCGAGCTCTCTAACATGCCTAGCAGCTGCTCAAACTCGGTCGTGCCCCTAGGCTGCCCTCAATGCCCCTCGTTCTCGATTCCGCGACGGCGTCACCGCCCAGCCACCTTCCGACGACTTCTACTGTACCATACGACTCCCCGATACCTGCGACCGCAATCTTGGCCCCCCACAACCTCTCCAGGGCACTCGGAAGACACGGCCGCGTTGAGGAGGCGAGATGGGCGCCTATGTGCGCGCCGTCTCCTCCTCGACTTGTGCAGCTTCCCGACGACCTCGCACTGCGCATACAGCCTCAAAACTGCGTCTATTCCCTTTATAGTTTATCTGGAGGGGAGTATGCGCCGTATCCGGGGCGATTCCAGTGTCTGGGCAGATGGGAGAAGTGTTTGAGTATCGCGCCCCATCCGGCACTCTCCCTCGCGATTTTGCGCTTTCGCGGAATCGCAGCCACGTCCACGCAGTCCCGCGAATATGGTGCGTCCTTTAGCTCCTCGTGTGTGCAATTCCGGCGTCTCACGACTCTTACAGCGCGCTCAGCAGATGTTTTGGTGCCTACAGCTAGATCTTGGGCTCCCGCCGCCCTCCCTTTCGATTCCGCCACAATGTGGTGTCGCAGCCACGCGACGTGCATCATATCGACACCCGATGACTCTGGAGACCGCGTACGCGCGATTTCGGGTCTCCAGCCGTCCTCCTCACAGCCCACGGCCGTCCTCTGCTGCGACAGCCAGTGCTGGAGCCCTGGAGTCTTCCAATCGCGATTTCGCGCGTTCGCAGCCGCGAAGCTACCCGACGCAGGCTCTACCGACATCCTACAACACCTTAAAGTGCTCCGTGCTATCTCGCCGCCCTCCGCTCCCTGCGACGTCCTCGGAAGAGGGTTTTGCACCCAAAGCCTCTTGCAGCCACCCTCCCGCTTGATTCCACCGCAAAGCAGTGTCGCAGCTACGCGACGCGCACTGTATCGACACCCGGCGACCACCCGGCGACTCTGGAGATTGCGTACGCGCAATCTCGACCCCCAGCCGGCCTGCTCGCGGCCCGAGGCAATACTCCGCTCCCCAGGCTCCTGGCACCGTCGTTGTCGATTCCGCCACATCGCAGCACCGCGGCCACGTCGAGACGTCTCTACTGAACTCCCACGACGCCCAGCGGGCTCTGTGCGCGGTTCCAACGTCCCCTGGCGCGTCCTCAGCGCTCTGCGTTGGTCTGGGGCTGCCAGCCAGCTCTCGGGCTCCCGACGCCATCCGTGTCCATACCTGAGTGGCCTGGAAGCAACGCGTCGCGTGCAGTCGACCCCTGGCACTCCCTGTACACGATCCCAGCGTGCCCCAACGTCCTGAGAGCGCACGAGCCTCGGACCTTGTGTCCTGGAGCGTCCTCGGATGGCCCCGCCCGCGATTCCACCACTTTGCGGCTGCCCAGCTGTGCCAAGACGGACTGTACGGTGCAGAACGATGCTGGAGTACGAGCACGCGCGCGTTCGGCGTGCCTGGATGCCTACGAGGGGTGCGGCCAGGAGGACTCTGCACCCACGGGGAGTCCCTTAGGCTCTGAACGATTCCCGCGCGATTTCGCGATGACGCGCGCGGCGCAGGGATGCGCATAGTGCGCTGGAGACGGTACGATGCGGACAACGTCGAATCGCGCGATTCGGACATGTTTTGACCGTTCGGGAGGCATTCTCGTGGAGGGGCTCCTCTGGGACTTGTTTCCCCTCTACGGCTTGTAGTTCTGCCCGTCCGGACTTAATATGTTGCCTCTGTACAGTACGAGTATGCTACGATGGAATACAATGCAATTTGGACGTCGCAAGTGCGATTTTCGACCTAAGGCTACAGTGCGCGGACGGTGGAGAGCAGCCAGCCGGCGTCTATCTTGATTGCCTCCCGTGGAGGTCTGCACATGACGCCGTTCCTCCTCTCTCTCTCGTCCTGCCTCGCTTCCCTGCTCTCGCTCTCTTGCTCGCTCTCTCATCACATTCCTGCGCCCTCTGTACTCTGCCAGTCTCAGTCTCGCTTGCCCGCCCGCCCCATGCACCGCCAGAGCGCAGGCCAGCACTGGAGTGCCCGTCCCTCGGCTGCAGGCTCAACCTCGATCTGAACCCCCTCGCTCTGCCTGCCGCTCTCCTGCGCGGCCTTGTCCGCCTTGGACGGCCACTTAGACGTCTCCTCTCTCACTGCGCTCGCTGCTCACACCCGACAGCGGCCCTCTCTCGCATCCTCGACCCGGCCAGAGCGCTTGGCGCCATACAGCGCCCCTCTAGACGACACCACCATGCCTAGGACGTCCCTACTGGCTCTGTCGACTGCGACGGCTCTGGGCCCTCTCATGCACCCCTCTCGACGTCCTGGACGTCTGTAGCCCGCTCTGGACGCCCTTCTTTGGAGCATCAAGCTCGACGCCTCCCTCGCCCGTATAGGCGCCCGTCGCTCCCCCTCTTGGGCAGCTCGCCAGCCGGTACGTTCGGGCCCTTTCTGCCATTAATAGAGCATTCGATCCTGACCTCTCTCCCAGAGCGATGACGGTGTTTTCAGCCGGAGATTTCATGCACATCACGCAGCACTCGACTCCACGCCCTGCGACGCGCCACAAGCGGGAAGAACACGGCGACTACTAGCCTTGTACGCAACGTCCCGGGATAGACTGAGTGACCTCACGTCTGCAGGATCCCGAAAGAACGAAATCGATCTGCGCAGCCGTTCGCAAACGTGCATCCGGGGCTCGGCACCGTCTGCGTGTGCCATTCTCTTTTCCTTTTCCGTCCGTCCGGGGTGCATGCGGAGCAGACGCTGACTGCGAACTTTGCCCAGGCTGAACGAGTCCGACATCAAGCGCAGAGAGCTCGGCGTCGTGTTCGAGGACCTGCGCATCGTCGGCGTCGGCGCCGCCGCGTCCTACCAGCCGACCTTCGGCTCGACCCTCAACCCGCTCAACATGCTCCAGGGGGTCCGGTCGAAGATGCACCCCGCCACGCGCGACATCCTCTCCGGCTTTGACGGCGTCGTGCGCCCTGGCGAGATGCTCCGTACGCCCCCCCCATCTCTGTCCCCGCGTCTCCCACACTGACCACCGCCCGCCCCCGCCATACGCAGTCGTCCTCGGGCGCCCCGGCTCCGGCTGCAGCACGCTGCTCAAGACGCTCGCGAACCGGCGCGCGGAGTGCCACGCCGTCGGGGGCACAGTCGCGTACGACTCGCTCACGCCCGACGCGGTTGAGCGGCACTTCCGGGGCGACGTGCAGTACTGCCCGGAGGACGACGTGCACTTCCCGACGCTCACTGTCGACCAGACGCTGCGCTTCGCGGCGACGACGCGCACACCGCGCACACGCCTCCCTGGGGCATCGCGCGAGGACCACGTGTCGCGCATGGTCGAGGTGCTCGAGACCGTGTTTGGGCTCCGGTACGTCAAGGACACCCTCGTCGGCGACGCGTCCGTGCGCGGCGTGTCGGGCGGCGAGAAGAAGTGTGTGTCGATCAGCGAGGCGCTCACTGCCCGCAGTCTGCTCAACTCGTGGGACAACTCCACCCGTGATCTCGAGTGCGTGGCTACGAGCCCGCGAACCGGCAGACCACCGCCGACTTCCTCGTCGCCAGTGAGCCCCCCTGACGTCTCTCCATCTCCCGCTGCGGGTGCTGATCACCCCCCTCTGCCGCAGTGACCGACCCAAACGGCCACATCGTGCGCCCCGGGTTCGAGGCGCGCGTGCCATGCACGGCTGCCGAGTTCGCGGAGCACTACAGGCGCTCCGAGTTTGCGCGCGAGAACCGCGCGGACATGGACGCGTACCACGCCGCGTTCGTGGGCAAGCCCGAGCGCGCGGACGCGTACCGGCAGAGCGTGAAGGCGGAGCACGCGCGGCATGCGAGCAAGAAGAGCGTGAAGGCGGAGCACGGGCGGCACGCGAGCAAGAAGAGCCCGTACATCGCGAGCATCCCGATGCAGGTGTGCACGCTCATGGCGCGGCACATGCAGATCATCCGCGGGGGCGCGGCAGCGCAGGTCATCCAGCTCGCGTTGTTTGTGCTGCAGGGCCTCATCGTCGGCACGGTGTTCCTGCGGCTGAAGAACGTCGTCGTCTCGTTCTTCAGCCGCGGCGGCGTGCTGTTCTTCGCGCTGCTGTTCTCCGTGCTGTCGACGATGGCGGAGATCCCCGCGCTGTTCTCGCAGCGGCCGATGGTGCACCGCCAGAGCCGCGCGGCGATGTACCACCCGTTCGTGGAGGGCCTCGCGCTGACGCTCGTGGACGTGCCGATCACGTTCATCACGATGGTCGTGTTCGCGATCCTCATCTACTTCTTGGTCGCGCTTGAGCAGACTGCTGCTCAGTTCTTGTGAGTTCTCAACTACATCAGTTCGTTTTGTTTTTTGCTGGGGCAGCGCTGACCGGTCCTGCAGCATTTTCCTGCTGTTCACGTTCTCTATGACAATCACGATGAAGGTGTGGTTCCGCTCGCTCGCGGCGCTGTTCAAGAGCGCCGCACCCGCGCAGGCCATCGCCGGTCTCACCAACCTCATCCTCGTCCTCTACACCGGCTACAGCATCCCGCAGCCGTACATGATCGCCGCGCTGCACTGGATCACATATATCAACGTACGTGCCTCCCTTTACCCCCTGCATGATGCACCAATGCTGACTGCTTGCGTATGCAGCCGCTGAAGTACAGCTTCGAGGCGCTGATGGTGAACGAGTTCCACACGGTGCACGCGGACTGCTCGGTGCTCGTGCCGCAGGGCGCGGGCTACGAGAACGTCGGGCTTGCGAACCAGGTGTGCACGACCGTGGGGTCCGTGCCTGGGCAGCTCACCGTCTCTGGCATGGACTACGTCACGCTTTCGTACGGGTACACGTACGCCCACCTCTGGCGGGTACGTCTATTTCTCTTCCATCGTGTGTCATGGCGCAGATGCTGACGGGCGATGCAGAACTTCGGCGTGCTCTGCGCGTTCGGCATTGGGTTCATCGCGATCCTGCTCGCGCTCACGGAGAACAACACGAGCATCGCGGGCGAGACCGCGGTGATGCTCTTCAATCGCGGCACCAAGACGGAGATCGTCGAGGACGCCGCGGCGGACAAGGAGAAGGGCGCGGCCGCGGCCGCAGCTGGCATCGGCGTGCACCACGACGCGGAGGCGCAGGCGATCAAAGAGGCGACGCACACCATCACGGACGTGTTCTCGTTCCAGCACCTCAACTACGTCGTGCCCGTCGGCGGCGGCCACACGCGCCGCCTGCTCGACGACGTCTCCAGGTACGTGCCCCCGGGCAAGCTCACCGCACTCATGGGCGAGTCTGGGGCGGGCAAGACGACGCTCCTGAACGTCCTCGCGGAGCGCACGACCGGCGGCGTCGTCACCGGCCAGCGGCTCATGAACGGCCACCCGCTCCCCGCGGACTTCCAGGTGCACACGGGCTACTGCCAGCAGATGGACACGCACCTGCCGACGAACAGCGTGCGCGAGCCACTCCGGTTCTCCGCGTGCCTGCGCCAGCCACAGAACCCGACGGAGTACATTCTGGACGCGATAGGAGCCGGGGCGACCGCGACGACAGATGTGGAGTGGTACGAGGCATAGAATAAGAGCGCGGAGGCGGCAGAGTCGTATGCGGCGCTCGACCGCATCCACGCGGAGGGCCGCAGCAAGCCCGCGGTGCAGGCGACGCTCACGAACACGTTCCCGACGACGTGGGCGTACCAGCTGCGCACGCTGCTCCTGCGCGACGCGCAGGCGCACTGGCGCGACCGGACGTACCTCATGGCGAAGGTCGGGCTGAACATCGTGTCCGCGCTCCTCATCGGCTTCATGTTCTTCCACGCGAAGACGATCATCCAGGGTACCCAGAACCACCTCTTTGTGAGTGCCGTCGGATTCTTGTTATTTGTAGCTGTGTGCTAATGTGTTTCCCCACCGCCGACGCGCGATCTGTGCGGCTGGCATGAACGGCTGCGACGCTCGATGAGAACACAGCCAGCACACACCTCGTCGGACATGCAGCCTGCGTACAGACTCGGTAAGCACTCTGTCGCTCTCGAGGGATGTGTGCTGACTGCTGCGCTCTATAAGCTCTCCTCCCTGCGCCGACGACTGCGAACGACCACCATACGTGCATACATGCATGCAAGACCGTCGCACATGCTCCCCAAGACGTCGCACTTGCCCCAAGGCTGTTGCGGGCCGCTTCTTTACGATATTGACCCAGGTACACCCACCACTTATCTAACCTGCTCGTGCACTCACTAATTCATCCTGATTTTATTCAACAACAGCTTATTTCATTGCTACGATACCCTACTACCACTACAAGGCTATCCAGAAGCCCTACCAGCTGCGACATCCTCCGCACGGACGTCCGCACAATGTGACATCTTATGGGCGCCTATCGGAGGACCTACCTTGCGGACCCACTTGCCGGCCTCCATCCACTCCTATCACCGTGATTCCCTCGTTTATCGCTCACAGTTCCTGTCATGGGTATGTGTGAGAGTTTAAGCGCAACTCGGCGCACTTACCGCCCCTGTAGCCGCTTCACTACTCGGCACACGGCCAGCGAGCCCCATTCACGCCTCCCATCGCCGGTGGTCCTGGCCAAACTGCGTGAATAGCCGTGGGTTAGCAAGTATATCAGCACATTGCGCTGAGCTGACGTACCATATACCAGGTATTCGCATCGGGAGACGTGTACGCGCTCGCGGCACCGCTGTGTGACGACTACTGCACCCCTCGACTACTACCGCACTTGCCATTTACGTACAGCTACGATACGATCCCGCCCGGCGTCCTCCCGCTCATCTGTTGCGCGTCGTTGCACCCGCCCGCTCTGTCATGCCTGCGAGGCCTCGATTTGACCGTCCAGCGTGGATCTGCGAAGGAGGTGAGTCAGCCAGCCATTTCCCCAGCGGAACGGGCGGAAACTGACCGTCTTCGAGCTCGTTCACGCTACACGACGAGGTCGGTGGGCGGCGGCGGGCTGGGTGGGCGGACACGTCAGCGGCGGGGCATCCACGACGCGGACCTCTCCGGTACATACCTCGAGCCCCGCGTCGTCTGCGGGTTGTGTCTGACAGTTCTGCAGCCATAGGAGCTTGTCAGCGGGGTGCGGGGGCTCGATGGGTGGACTTACCGGTGTGCACTCGCACACTCGCACGATCGCTTCTGCACACTCGGCGAAGCCTGCCACTCTCGCATCACAGCGTGGACAGTGCCCGCACTTCAGCCTCAGGCCGGCTCACCTCTCTTGCTCGTCCTCTTCGCCGGTCTTCCCCGTCGATATCCCCACCCCAGACACCCTTGAAACAAGCGCTCTGCCTCCATTAGGCGCCCACCACCCGCGCCTTTGGGCAGCTTCTCAACGAGTACGTCTGCGCCGGTGCTACTGATACATGATCCGCTTCTGATGTCTGTTCGAGCCCAGATTCGCAGTTTGTAGCCGGAACACGCCCGCACACTGCGAGATGCGATGACACGCGGTGCCGTGCTCCATGTGCGAAGAGCAAGGTGTGTACTGACCTGTTTCGAAACATCAATATCTCAAATGAAGAGACATCCGTGTAGCATTGTCGAAGGTCCCAGGGAGATTGGTGCAGCAGTTCAAAAATGCGCAGAAACGGGTCAATGATGCTGCGGTGCTGCGCGACGAACACGCGCAAGTCTCACATGCGTCAACACACACCCGAGAGGCTCCCCGAACCCCGCCAAGGTGTTGCCTTCGACGTCGAGCCACCGGGGCCCGCTAAGGACACCCAGAGGGCCCACGTACGCCCTCCTCCCCACCTAACACCTTCGTACAGCCACTAATCCACGCCGTGTCTTCCCAGAAACGAGATATATTATTATTATAGCATCTATGAATACTACAAGACCATTTACGAAGGTTGCGGTCTGGGATGTCGCGCACGACCTCGTCTCTGACGACCGGCCCCCTATAGGCGCCTATCTGCCACCCTCGCAAGAACTCCCTCCCGCCGGCCTCAATCCACGCCGGCCTCCGCATTTCTTGCGTGTCCTGCTTGTACGACCCAGTAAGAGGTGAGTTAGCGCGAGTCTGGACTCAAAACGAGGAACTTACTGGGAACATGAGGGCGGCAAGCAAAGTCCGCGGAGCCCGCCCGTCGGCGGCCTTGGTGGCTTGACCGGGCTCAGCGCGCGACTGCAGGCGGCGGATGGGGATGATGATGACGGCGGTGCCTTGGGAGGCGGTGGGCACAGCGGAGATGACTTTCACAACAGCCTTCGAGCGACGACCGCAGCGCGATCGCGCCGAGGTCGACCTCGAAGCACTCCAGTCCCTCCGTGAACGGCTCGACGCAACGCTCAGCAATCTTGTTGCAGCCGCGAAGACACATGCGATGAGTGCGGGCATGGCGCCCGTCTCCCTGCTCGATGCCGCTGCAAGCCACGTTTTCACCATGGTGACTGAGATCGGGAAGACAGTGCACATCCGGCGGGTGACGAAGGCGGAGCAAGAGCAATTCGCCTCAGCCGCTGCTGCGAGCTCGGCCACGAACGGGTACGCCCCGGCGCTGCGTGCGGTGGAGGAGCTGCGGTCGCCGCATCAACTTGTGGGTAGCAGCACGAGCTCGCGCAATGGAGACGACCGCTATTCGCCGGTGTTGCCGCCGCGCAGCGGGACGGGCAGCGGGACGGGCAGGCCGTTGCTCGAGGGGCGTAGGCTGCTGTCAAACATGTCGAGCTCGGCTGCGAGCTCGCCGCCGCCGATCTTTGACCAACCGAAAGGTATGACCAACGGGAGCAAGAGTGACAGCTCGGCAACGAGCGAGGGGCCCGACGAGGCCTGGGCAGAGCTCAAGGTGTGTTCTTCGTAAGATCGCCTGTGCAGGTTGCTCACCGCGTTTTCTTTGCAGCCGTACCTCGAGGCGCAGACAGAGGCGATCGTGTACGCAATCCAGAGCGTGCTGTCGGGCGTGCGGAGCCCAACGCCGTCGCCGACACTGAACGAGAACTTGACGCAGATCATGACGATCGTGTCAAGCATTGTCGCCGTCTGCAAGGACAACTTCCCGCCTGGCGCACAAACACAGGGCGAGGAGATCCTGTGCGAGCTCGGCGAGCACGCGAACAAGCTGAGTGAGGTTCAGGCGCAGACGGAAGTCTCGAAGGAGGCGCGCCAAGTGATAGCGAAGTCGAGCTTCGCGGTCGCGAACGCGATGAAGGGCCTCATAAAGCTGTAAGTTTGTGGCATACATCTGTGATACCTACGTTTTTCCTGGATATGGAGTGGCACTTTGGATTCCGACTACCCACTACCCCTTCCTTTCTGTTACCCCGTTACTACCGTATCATTGAGCGCGCGACTGGTGGTGTCTGGCGCTACTCGTGGATTACAATACAAGAATGCTGGTCATGGTCCGGGATTGCGTGTGTATCATCTAGCAAGAACATCTAATCTATCACCATTAGCCCTCGTGCTCAGCTGTCGAACACGTTCTCCGGGATGTCAATGCCGAAGTTGGACTCCGCAAAGTCGCGCATCGTGCGCTCGAGCTCGTCCTCAAACCCATTGCCGGCTCCGTGCAGGCGACCAAACCGCGCCGCAAGCCACTGGCGCACCCGCGTCGCCCAGAATACGGTGTCGATAGAGAACATGATCGTGAGGAACACGATGTGGCGGCCGAGCTCGCACGCACGCTCTGCGAAACCCAGGCTAGGTGAGGTCGCCAGCGAGCGAGAGGCCCAGTAGCCTGTGATGCGGATCCGGTTTACGGGCGAGCCGAACATCTGGTCGTTACCTGTGCAAATCCGCGGTCAGCGTGAGTGTGATGATCGCAGCGTAGTACACACCTTGTACGATCCTGTCGAGGATGACGATAAGCGAAGGGCGCAAAGAAGTGCTACAGCGTACTCCCCGCTTGTTCCGGCCGACAAAGATGAGTTGTTTGGGCATGCGGTCCGTATCCGTTAGGAAGCTCTTCAGCTTTGCCTTCATCGCGACCCCGCGCTTGTGGTCGTTCATCCGCTCGAAGTCCGGCAACAGCGCCTGCTCCGCAAACCGTATGGGCTGCATGAGCGTCGCGCTCGCGAACAGGTCCGGCGCACCGATGCCCCACTCGCCCGCAACCGCGCTCACGGCCGCAAAGTCGACCGTGAGAAGTGCCTTCCACAGACGTGCGTACTGCTGCTGGAACTCGCGCGGGAGGTGTACATACAGCCCGTGGTCGAGCAGAACGAGTTGTGCCGCTCCACGCGCGGCACAGCGCGGGTCTGAGTGGGGGCGTACTATCACGTTCCCCGGGTGCGGGTCGCAGTGCACCCAGCCCCAGTCGAAGATCTGTGCGCTGAAGAGGTCGACCATCGTCTGCATCACCCACTTCGCGCCCCCGCGCAGCGGCAGGAAGCGGTCGACGGCAAGCGGGTCGGTGCTGGAGGCGGAGGCGCGGTCGTCGCCCATGAGGTGCGCGATGCCACGCTTATCGCTGAGCCGGACGCCGTCAATCCACTCGGCGGTCATGATCTTCTTGGTGGAGAGCTCGGGGAAGACGCGCGGGATGTAGATGTGGTCTGCGAGGCGGGGTTCGGAGGCGACGAATGCGGCGGTGGCGCGTGCATTTTCAGCCTTGAGCTCAAAATGGAGTTTGCATCGAAGGTGATACGTGATGAACTCCGCACGGTGTCAGCGCGTGAGCAATGAATACCCATGAACGGACTCACCAATGGCGCGATAGACGGGGAGGTCAAACAGGTAATTCCCGTACACCCACATAACGGCACGGAATGCCCTGAGATCCCATTCGACTTGCTTCCCGATGTTTGTCTTCTGGACCTTGATGGTGACCCACTGATCCGAGCCGTCCGCGGTCTTCAGCTTCGCGTGGTGCACTTGCGCGATACTTGCGCTCGCGGCCGCCTCTTCTTCGAACTCTTCGAACACCCTGTCGGGTCCCGCAGGTGCGTGCCCGAACTCTTTGCGAAGACAGAGTTAACAACCGAGTAGGGCACTTGCGGTGCATCATCGAAGAGCTTGCCAAACTTCTCTTGGAGGGGTTTGGGAGGGAGGGCGGTGTTATTACCAATGGCTCAGCCTGTACAGGCAAGACATGAGCAGCAGATAGCGAGTGTAGAGGATGCGACGTACCTATCTTGATGTAGAGGCCGCCGTGGGACATAAGGTCATAGACGCGTTCTGCGACGCGTTCCTGGAGAGCGGGGATCTGTTCCACCTTCTCGGGTGTACAGTTAAGCTTGTAATCTACCGCAATCGTCAAGCACTGAGCGTGGAAGAGGTCGCATGAGAGCTGGACATGCGAGCGGAACACAGTAGGCTACTCACCGGCCAGTGTCCTTCGATTTCTCCCGATGGCTGACGCGTTGAGCTTGCGGTCGAGGCCATATGCAAGACCTTCTCCGACGGCAATGAAGGCCGTGCAGTGAGTGTGTCGGTAGGTCCGGGATGCTGGGCGGGCCCCGGACACGGTAGAGTAGCTCGATGTGCGGGCAGGGTGCGAGAGCGTCGTGGAGGTGAGCCGCCGCCATAGAGGGCGGACTAGAGAAGACAGCATAGAGCGAGACATTCAGCGGTCAGCGGCAGGGGCAGCGCATCGCAAACAGAGGCGGTCGAGGGCGCGTGAGCGTGAGGTCGAGGTTGTCGAGTGCGGGGAAGAAGGCGCCCAGTGACGCACTTGCCCGGCGCCTCGGCTCAGGTCAGGGCTCCGTCTTGGCCGGGATCGTGCTCGCTCTCTGCCCGCCACACTCTGGCCTCTCTGTCCCGCTCGTCTGACGTCTGAGGCTGCCTCTGGCTTACTCTTGCCCTCACTCGCTTGCTGCTGCTCGCTCTGTTGCGCGTGCCTCGGTTGCCCGTGCACCGGGACGCGATCTGGCTGCTCTGAGCGCCCCTGCGACCGCTCTCCCGCTCCATTCTCGCTCTCTTTCGGGTACTGGACCCCTCCGCTGCTGCTAGAACACTCGGGCGACCCACAGCGACCACTATGGACGCCAGGGCTCGCTATTTTTGCCTCTGACGCAAGCACTTGGCCTAGCGCGACCTCGGAGGCGTCCTGCAAGCTCCAGGTCGTCTCCTGCTTGCTCCCCGGCACTCTCCCACACCTCTAGTACCTCTGGGGCCATCCAAGTCACTCTATAAGACGCCACAGACGTCTTAAGCCCGTCCTCAACGCACGAGCTACCGTGCCATCTCGACGGCTGCCTCTTTCGCCGGAATCGGCGCCCAGGTGCTCCCCTCTTGAGCAGCTCCTCAGCGGGTGCGTACGCGCCCTATCCACCAATACGAGACATCTTCTTGACGTCTAGTCGAGCATAGAAACATTGTTTGCAGCCAGAACACCCCCCGCGGTGCGTGCCGGACGCGAGGACCCGGCCCCGGTGCGCGATGTGCGGGAGGAACAACGTGCGTACTAACCCGCTACGAAACGTACATTAATCGAATGCGAACACTCATTTTTATAGCATCACGAACGACCCACGGCGATCGGCACACGCATTCAAAAATGCGCACCGAGCGCTCGCCGCCGCCTTGCGATGCACACGGACGGCACAGACGGCTGCGATGCGCGACGGCGCGTACAGCGCACACAGGGCACTCGTATATGCAGCCTAAGTCGTCATCGGCGACATCCGGCCGTCGCCAACGGCTAGGTTACAAGTTTTCTCAAGTGGTGGTAAGTCCTCCGTGCTTCACGCCCTTGTACGCTCATTAATTCGCGCCGTCTTCGTTCAGTGACACCATATATTATTTATAATGCACCATACGACCATCACTACGGTGTCTACAAGTGCTACAAGCCGGGACGTCACGCACGATCGTGTCCGCTGTCTGCGACGTCCTACGGGCGCTTATCCACCGGTTTCCCTCCCTCACCCTCCTGCCGGCCTGCAACCCCGCCGAACGCCGCTATTGTTGCGCAGATCGCTACTGCTATCTGTAACGAGGTGAGACGCGAGCTCATCCGCACCATTCAGCGCACTCACCTGCCCTGGCAGCGTCTGGGCACCCCCAACACCCCGGTGGGCCTGAATCTTCGCGGACCGGCCGCCGTTCTTCAAGATTCGCCCCAGCGAGCTGGATAACGGTAAGCGGTCAAGCTTATTGACGAATACCGATGAGCTGACACACCAGGTACCAGCCGTCTGCGCTGAGGGAGCGGTGCGAGCTCTGCGAACCCGCTGGGCCGCGAACACCGCGGAGACAGTGCTCTACTGCACCTGTCTATTACATACGACTACGATACGGCTCCACCGCCCTCCTGCGCTCTCCGGCCCGTACCCACGCTCGTACACGCCGTCAACACTTGCCGCGGCCTCGTCGACCTCGCGGCGCAAGCCTGCCAATCCTGTGAGTCAGCGGGACACTCCCGATGCGAGACGACTGAACTCACCATTTGTGGGCACCTCCACAGGCGTCTGGACATGATACACAGCTGGCTAGAAGCGAGGACACGTCAGCTGTGGCACGTACCCGACGAGCACCGAATCGGTGCGTACTTCGCGCCGGGCATAGTGTCCTCGGCGATCCTGACCGTCTCGCATGTGCAGGATTTCGTTAGATGTGCCCAGGGGGCTTTTACGCAGACTCATCGCAGCTGCAGACGTCTCCACGCGGTACGCGGTGGGCTGGAGGCGCAAACTTGTCAGCAGCGACCCATGCACGACAAAGAGGGAGCCGGTACGTACCTGGCTGCGAGCCTGATGTCCTCGGGGTTCCTGACCGTCTCGCATCTGTAGCACTTCGTTAGACCTGCCCAAGGGGCCCGTACATGCACTCACCGGAGCCGCAGACGTCGCGACGTGGTGACCAGCCGGCTGGAAGCGAGAGCCCGTCAGCGGGGCCCAGTAGACGACAAGGGCGGACTCAGTACGTACGTCGCTCCGGTCCCATGTCCTCCGCATGTGCTGACCGCCATGTGCCTGCCAGAACTCATTAGCAGGGCACGTCTGGCCGCGAAGTGGACTCACCGAGGCCGCGGCCGCACCCATGGGGCACAGCCTGCTTCTGCAGCTCGCGGACACCACGGACAGCATGGGGCGGGCAGCAGAAGGGACGAGTGGGAGGGAGGCGACGGCAGGAGGAAGAGGATGAGGGGATGAGCATGGAAGTAAGGTTTGTGCGCGGTTTATATACGGTGCCCGCACCACTTACTGCACGTCTCGCAGCAGTGCGGCACAACCCGGAGGGCGATATGATGGGCTCGGGCGGAGACCTGTTTGGATCCCGCATTCCCAGGAGGCGAGTGCGGACATTTCGTTGTTCACCTTGAGCTCTGACGACCGTCTCGTACGGCGTGCACTGCCATCGTATATGCTCCTGGTATCTTGTGTACATATGGCAGCCGGGGTTAAGAATTAGGACTTACAGAGAGCTTGAGCTGGGCTCAGACGAGGGACACATTCGTACGCCGGCTGTTCGTGGACACACTGACAGTCTTGTTCAGGTGTGGGGCTGCTGGTATGGCAGTCCTTGTTGTCTGCATGCAGAGAGGGAGCCGGCTGGCTGCGCTCGACGACTTGGATGCGAGTGGTGCATTCTCGTTGCAGATCGGGCGGGTATGCATTCTCGAGCATACCGGCATGACAACACACAGGCGGGGGCTTTGATGCGAAACTCCGTGTACGCACATCGTGCGCAGCTGTGTGGGGGAACATCTCGCCCTGCTCGCGACATGGTGGCGGACATCACCACACAGCAAACAAATCAAATCGAGGCGGGTTGGATGTGTGAATTGAGGCCCGCACATGTTCCAGTGCTACCGCGTTCAGGAATGTTCGCTGTAGCTCTCGCATTGTAGGAACCAGCAAGTGTGCTCTATCCGCAAGTAGAGAGTGAATGTTTGTATGCACGTCTGTCTATGTACATTGCTGTGTGCCTGTGCACGTCCTCGTTGATCATCGTACCGTCACATTAATGTGAACCTTGCAGAGCTGGGAAGAGCCAAATCATGGCACAGGGTGACCGTCCACGTGCCCCACGCCACGCAGCAAGGCAGCAAACGGGCCAGCTCACGCCCTGGTGCGGTTGGGGTGTGGGCGTCCCGCACGCTACGCACCGAGGCAGCAAACGGGCCAGCTCACGCCCTGGTGCGGTTCGAGTGTCGGCGCCACGCACCGGGGCAGCAAACGGGCCAGCTCACGCCCTGGTGCGGTTCGAGCGTCGGCGTCCCGCACGCTACGCACCGAGGCAGCAAACAGGCCAGCTCACGCCCTGGTGCAGTTCGAGCGTTGGCGTCCCGCACGCTACGCACCGAGGCAGCAAACGGGCCAGCTCACGCCCTGGTGCAGTTCGAGCGTCGGCGTCCCGCACGCCATGCACCGGGGCAGCGAATGGGCCAGCTCACGCCCTGGTGCGGTTCGAGTGTCGGCGTCCCGCACGCTACGCACCGAGGCAGCAAACGGGCCAGCTCACGCCCTGGTGCGGTTCGAGTGTCGGCGCCACGCACCAAGGCAGCAAACGGGCCAGTTCACGCCCTGGTGCGGTTCGAGCGTCGGCGTCCCGCACGCCACGCA